GGAGTTCTGCAACCATCAACACAATCCAGTTTTAGAACATTCCGTCACCTCATAAGGATACAGAGGGCCTATTTTAAGACAGCACTTTTTGTTACCTCCAGCCTTAGGCAACTCTGATCTTTTTGAGTTTCCTTAAATTTACCTTTTTCGGATAGTTCAGATAAGTGGGATACAATATAGTGTCCTTTGTGTCTGTCTCCTTTCATGTTCAATGTTTTTGAATTTATTCATTACACATTCCATATTCCATGTTGCATCTCTTCCATGTTGTGGCCTATATTGCATTTCATTGGTCCATTCATGGTGGATGAACTTTAGGAATGTTTCCAGTTTGACTCAGAGCATTCATGCTCTATGTGGACACATGTGTTCATTTCTGTTGGGTAGATTCCCCAGTAGAATTGTTGAGGGAAAGGGTAAATTTACTTTGAATTTATTTTTATAATCCGCAGTGGCTGCACCATGTTACATTTGTACCAGCAACATGTGAGAGCTCCAGTTTCTCTACATCTTTATCTTTCCTTCATATTTTATTTTAGAAATTCCATGTCCATGTAAATCATAATTAAATCAAGAAGATTCTTTTGTGAGTCAGTGGTAGCACTGAAGTCTCGATTAGACTGAGCGCTTCATAGTTGGGGTTTAAAAACAGCCTCAGTAATTGGGAAGAATTGATTTACGTTGTTGAACTAATACTTCAGTTGCTTGGGGAGTAGATGGTAAATAATTAATGACAGTTCACTGCAGGCATCCTTGTAGAATGTACTTTATCCAACTTGCTACTGTTTTATCAGGGTCATCTAATTATTCAGGAAATAAAAATAACTTTCAGTAGAAGGCAGAGTGTGGTGCTTGTGCGTCTGTTGGGTTGTCTAGACCCTCCAACATTGAGACCCTTGGCCTATTTGTCATTTTAATAGATAGGGCATCTAATGCAGATACAGACAGCTACTCATGTCAACACAGGCTTTTGTGTGTGTTAAATCCCTTGGGGACTGGAATGAAATAATTTCTTGTTTCTTTCCAGATCGTTCACAGAACTCTGGCAGCCATGTTGGGGGCCCTTGCAGCATTAGCAGCACTGGCTGTGATTGGCGATGTAAGTTGTGACGTTCTGAGTCTCTGACTTACTGATGGAGAGACAATGTCAGACTCAGAGACACTCCAGGATTTGGTGTTATAAATTCTTTTATATGCTACTTCTACATATTTTTCCCCTAAGAACCACGCTAGAGGTTTGAACCAACAAACTTTAGCATTGATGAATATTTTTCATTTGATTTTTTTTCATTCACACATCCAGGTAGTTTTGGTCCTCATTTTGGTTAAAGAAAGGTTCATCCTGCTCATGTGTTTACCCGGGGTTGTTTGGTTGTGGGATATTAGAGTTAGCAGTGGTGTTGTCAGCTCTTGAGAACTAGACTAGCAGTGGGAGTAGAGAGTTAGGGTTCTGTCCAGGAGGCCCCTGGAGATGCATGTATGGGGCTGATGATGTCCTGCCAGGGCTGGAGCATGTCCTATCAGGCAGCCACATTGGGAATACACCTAGGGAAGTAAGAGAGGTGGAGTGCCTACTGGAAATGGCAGTCCAGAGTTGTTTGACAGTAATGCTGAAACCAAATGAGGGACCCACTCCAAGGTGGAAACACAAGACTGGATCTGAAAACAACTCTATGCAATTACATGGATTGTTCTGAAATTGCTAGTAGAGGCCATTCAATCAATCCGAGAATAACAACTAGTTTAAAAAACTCTGTGTGTGTGTTGCTGAATTAGTAATTTATTATGCTTTTTTTAAAATCTGGAATTTTAATGTAGGCCCACCCTAAAAGCAGTAGTAAAAACTTGAACTTTTTTCTTGACCAGAGTTGGTATAAACTCTAAAGATAAAATCTAAAGATAAAATGTCCCAGAATTCTAAAACCTAGACATAAAAATCCTTCAACGTGTTCCTGCAAACGAACGCTCCAACCTAGAGGAATGGAATTTGGGGGACCACGTGCAAATGGAGGACTCATCAATCCTGCCAAGTATCAACAAGATCGGGTGAAAAAATAATTGCTGAGATTCCAGTAAACTCGGAATTCTGTGGAATCATTGCAAATGCTTTCAAATGAAAGTGTATTTTCCTTGCCTTTGGTTAGGGCTACTTCAACAGGGAACAAAGCCTGGTATATGGTAGGCACACACTGTGGGAAGCCACTGGGTCACTGTCTTTCCCAACAGCCAGATACTGGCAGTGCCCTTACTTACACTCTATGCTCCCTATCTCTGCGACCCCACGAGAGTGGGAGGGCACATGAGAGTAGGAGACATGATTGTCCACATCGTCATCATCTGGCTTCATGCCATTACACTGAGGAAGACACATGTGGACTCCAAGAAGTACCTATCACTAAGCTTTGCATTTAAAAATAGATTTAAAAGAAAAAAGCTTTATTGTGGTTTACTGTTTTTGAAGTGTCAGTCTATGTTGGTTGGCCCATTTGCCTTTGGGTCTGTGGTAAAGCAGTACGTCATGGCAGGAGCACATAGAAGAGGAGCTATTTACCTCATGGCAGATGAGAAGCAAAGAGAGAGAGGAAAAGACTGGCATCCCCAAATCTCCTTCTAGGACACTCCCCTAATGAATTAAGACCTCCCACCAGGCCCCACATTTGAAAGGTTCCTCCACTACCCAATCGTGCTAGAAGCTGAGATCTAAGCCTTTAATACATGAGCCTTAGGGACACATTAATGATCCAAATGATTGCAGTAACTTCAAGGACCAACCCTGCAGTTCAGGCAACAGTTCTTCCTAGAGTTTTCAGGGACAGGGTTAAAAAAATTTTAAATTACTTTAATGCACAAGTTTGACGTTACAGATGCACTGGGTCATGAATGTTTTTCAGAAGTGATATAATCCAATTTCAAAGGCAAGTAGATGTTGTGTTTCCAACTTTGGCCCAATGAGTGGATTTGTAGTAAAGGGCAGCACACTTTTAGAGCTTATCCCCAGGAGGGAGACGCACAGGATTAATTGGCAAATTTGTGCTTTGATTGCAGAGACCCAGCCTGACCCACGTGGTGGAGTGGATTGATTTTGAGACCCTGGCCCTGCTGTTTGGCATGGTAATTATAGTCCTCCCAGCAGGACATGGCTCCAAGCCTGCTAAAACCTGGGTCCTTCTTTTTCTGCTGCTAATCCTATCATTATATTAAAGACACCATGTCTCTTGACAATTAGGGCTTGATTGAGAAGTGTTAATACAGGTCTAGCTAATTTCTCCTGAGGAGGAAGGGAACGATTGGTACTCTGGTTAGTTAGATGGAGAGTTTCAGTCTAAGTCCTATGGAATGATGAAATAACATTTCCATTAGAAAAGTTAGCAAGTTTTTGGAGGTACTACCCTTAAAGAAAAAAAATGGAATATCTTAAATAAATGAACCAGGGGTTAACATTAAATAATGTTTTGATTATTTGAAAAGTACATTTAATTACATAAGAAAAGGAAGACTTTGTCCCTGAGGAATCATTGGGGCATTTGCTAATTTATCTTATTGCTGAATGGCTATTCTGTGCTATGTGCTGCAAGGAATGACACCAAGTCAACTCCTAGGAAAGAAACTTAAATGCACCAGTAAATTAGTGTGAGACAGGAATCATGACTAATTTAACTAAAATGAATGGAATTTGGCAAGGATCTGGACAACAGCGAGAATGACTCACTTGCTTGTGAAGGACCCCTAAACAGCCAAGTGATCTGAAGGAGGGTTCATCCCTCTGGCCTAGAGACTTACTCTGTGTAAAATGGTCACCATTTGCCCTAATTTTCCTTGCTAACGTTTTATTCCTCCCCAAACTGGCAGATAAAATAGAGAATTCTGCTATTCTAAGGCTTCAATGTCACCCAAAGTAGCACTGCTATCCTCTGGGGGTAGGGTGCAGGGAGACAGGCCAATGCTCTGAATTGAGACTCCATAAAGGATGCAGTATCTGTGTTGGACCCTGAGAAGTACCTAGGGTTTGGGCATCCAGTCAGAAGAAGGGGACATACTGGATGATGTCTATAAGTGTAAAAAAATAAAATGAATGACAAATTTCTCTTCTTATGAAATAGAAAATCTTCCAGTGAGTTCTAACTGATTAAATTCAGAATATTTTTTTATTAGTATCTTGATGGTTGTTTTCACCAACTTTTCATTGTCAATAGAAAGAAACATGTGAGGGCTGGGGCTGTGGCTCAGCGGTAGAGCGCTCACCTTGCGTGTATGAGGCCCTGGGTTTCATCCTCAGCACCACATAAAAATAAATAAATAAATAAAATAAAGGTATCGTGTCCAACTATAACTAAAAAATAAATATTAAAAAAGGAAACATATGGGTGTACATTCTGGATTGACCCAGAGCTGGGAAGATAATCATTCTAATACAACTGTTCCTACTTAAATGTATAGATCAAGTTGGTGACAAAAATCAGTTTACTTACTCTGGAACCCAAAATTTAATCCAGTTTTAAAATCTTAAAATGTCTAAGTGTTGTTTTTTTTAATCAGTTTTTTAATTTATACATGACAGTAGAATGCATTACAATTCTTATTACACATATAGAGCATAATTTTTTCACATCTCTGGCTATATACAAAATATATTCACACCAATTCGTGTCTTCATCCATGTACTTTGGATAATAATGTCCATCACATTCCACCATTATTTCTAACCCCATGCCCCCTCCCTTCCCCTCCCACCTCTCTGCCCTATCTAGAGTTTGTCTATTCCTCCCATGCTCCTCCTCCCTACCCCACTATGAATCAGCCTCCTTATATCAGAGAAAATATTCGGCATTTGTTTTTTTGGGATTGGCTAACCTCACTTAGCATTATCTTCTCTAACTCCATCCAAGTGTTGCTTTTGTGGATAATGAGGTACGGAAGGTCACCTGCTGCACCCTGTCCTTCTCTGCTTCTAGCTTTAGGACTGAGCAGGTCCCCTCATCTCTCTGATCCCGAGTTTCCTGGCCTATAAAACAGATCAGTAATAATGCCTGATGTTTGTTTGAGGATTGGAGGGGATGGTGATTGATCTTCAGGACGAGTCCTGGACTAAATATACATATAAAACCACTAGTAAGTGACTCCACTCAAGGGGTTTGTAAGTGGGAAAACTAAGAAATCTTTCAGCAAGATAGCAAGGAGATTGATTATTGGCAACTTTCAGGGGCTAGATCTCAAATTCATAATGGCCATCTGACTTTGTTTCAATATTGTGTTTTCTCTTTTTCCCATAGATGATCTTAGTAGCCATATTTTCAGAAACTGGATTTTTTGATTTTTGTGCTGTAAAGGTAGGTGTGATCTTACATTTAACAGATAAATTCTAACTAACTAACATATTTATTGTTTGGACATTGTACATTTAATACATTAAAGTATTATTTAAAACAAATATTTAAAAATTTTATCCTCCTTTTCAAAATTGCTTCTACAAGGCTGGATATAGTTGCCTGACTCTGAGCAATGCTTTCAGCTTCTCCATAAATAAATGAAGGATCTGAAGGAAAAGGGTACTCACGTTGAATGTTTGTATAACATTATTTAAATTGGCTGGTGAAAGCTACACATCAAAAATTATTTTGCATATTAGAGTCTCTAAATATTCCAAGCCATCAGCTTCTGATTGCTTTGCTTTTTGGTGAAATAATTTCAATGATTACTTTCTAAATATTGAACGTATACACATTCACTATTTTTAAATTAGGGAAAAACATGTTTGTCTTTTAAAAATCCCTTAAGGATCTTATTTATTTACTTATGTTTTGGTGCAGAGGATTGAATCCAGGGCCTCACACATGCTAAACATTACCACTACCACTTACTCCACCCCCAACCCCTTAAAGGTCTTATTTAAAAAAAACATATTATTGATGTTATTTTTTGATTGGCAAATCATAACTGTACATATTTTGGGGTACAATGTGATTTTGTGATGAATGGATACACAAAGTGGCAGGACAAAATCAAGCTAGTTAACATATCCATCACTTCATTTATCTTTTTTTATGGTGAGACATTTGAAATCTACTCTCTTAGTTATTTTGAAATGTATACTACACTATTATTAATTAGTTATTGGCTGATTAACTATAGTCAATCTGCCTGTGTAGCAGATCTCAAAATGTATTCCTCTATCTTCAACTTTGTACCCTTTGATCAACATCTCCCCAACCCCCTCTCCCAGTCCTTCCATCTCTGGTAACTGTCATTCTACTGTCTACTTCTATATCAATTTTATTAGATTCCATATTTGAGATCATGTGGTCTTCATCTTTCTGTGCCTGGCTTGTTTCACTTAATGTAATATCCTTCAGTTCCATCCACATTGTTGAAAATTACAGGCTTTTTCCCTTTTTTATGTATTAAGTAGTATTCCATAATGTATATATCACATTGTCTTTATCCATTCATCTGTTGCTGGACACTTAGATTAATCCATATCTTGGCTGTTGTTAATAACTCTTCAGTAAACATACAGATATACATTCCTTTGGATATATGTCCAGTAGTGGGATAACTGGATCATACAGTTGATAGATATTAGTTTTCTGAGGACCCTCCACCCTGTTCTCTATAATGGCTGTACTGATTTACATCTCTACCAACTGTGTATGACTTTCCTTTTCTTTACATTTTCTCCAACACTTGTGATTTCTCATTGTAACCTTCATATGCATTTTTAGCTGGAACTTTGGAGAGTTTCACCAGCAGGTTCTGGCATGCAGGATTTGTACTAACTCTAGCATGCATGGTTGGCAAAAGATCTTGCAGGGCCCTACTAATGCAAAGGCTAGTGCTGTCTTGATGTTGCTTTTGTAACTGAAAAACTCTTATTAAAATAATTTATTCAACAAAACACTTTGAAAATTCTGAATAAAAGGACCATGCAGTGATTTTTGTGGTCTTTGTGTACCATGTTGTGTATACCAGACAGATATCTGGCCTCTTCCTTCTAATACCTTGATAATAAAAGTATTCCTTATGTCTCCAAAGATCAGCAGCCACTAGGGTCACATGGATCTCAAATGTAGCTGTTCAGGATATCTAATCAAAATTATAGATAACATGAAAGGGATTGAATGTTGACATTTTGTAACAAATTAACCATCATAAGGGCACAGTGAAGAGAGAGAATCAAAAAAGAGAGAATGTAGGGCCTTGTGGATTTATATTGTCCAAGTACTTCAATGGCCACTACCATGCGATTTAAACAGATTTAGGATTCTACAGTATAAGTTCTAACCCACCATGCATGGATTATTTGGGTCCCTATTCCTTGGATTCACTTATGAAAAGTCGCATCTATTCTACAAATGCACTGATTCTATCTTATTCCTTCCAACATGTGTGTGCACCCAGGCATACCGACTATCCCGAGGAAGGGTATGGACCATGATCATCATGCTGTGTCTCATTGCTGCCATCCTTTCTGCCTTCTTAGACAATGTCACCACGATGCTCCTCTTTACTCCTGTGACCATAAGGTATGCAGAGCACTTTTGCTGTGGGGACCATAGCCAGGCTCAGGGCAGGTATGTTCTGGCTGTACCACCTGACCCAAGGCTCCCTTCTCACATCTACAAAAAGGCAGGGGCCAGTGCCCACCCTTTCACTGAAGCACAACTCACTGCATTCCAGACCAGCCAGCGCTGGCTTTGTGTGACTTAAATGCACTTGACAAGCTGCGGTATTCCCATAGCTGGATGACAGCAATGTGGTGGGGAGTTGGAAGATGTGGGCATCGCTTTCCAGGAGACTGGGCTGTTATTGAGGACCCCAGACCGTTCTTGTCCATGCACTCCCATTATCATCTTCCACCTGGCTGGCAGCAGTTCACAATTGTGCTGGTATGAAAGCTCCTGTCCAGGGCTCCGAGAGGCACGTGCCTTGGGGAAGATGGAACAGTCATTGTCTGGTTCCTGGTCTGAGGGCTTGGAAGGTAGCAGGACAGACTGGATTCACCTGAGTTAGGACTTGGCCTAATAGGACTTTGCAGGCAATTTCAGGAAAGAGACATTCAGTCTAATTCAATTCCAACTCTTAATCCCATCTACATCAATAATTTGACATATATTGAGTGCCACGATATGTTGCCCAGAATCTTCTGCAACTAGAGGTTCAGTCCTGGCCCCTTTGTGAACCCTTCCCAAAAGAAAAAACCTTTTTTTTTCTGTATCTACCCTGTAAATTCTTTGTTTTAAAGATGGTTCCCCAGCATTTGAACCCCAGGATCCCAAACCTGGGTCCTCCCCAGCTTGGACCCATCATGTACTGGTACTTGGCTGATTCTGGGGATACAGAAAGTGATAGGTAACCCTCAAGGGTCCAGAGTGAGGGGGAAGCACTAACGTTTGTCCTGATTAGTGATTGGGCATCTTGAGTAAGTCACTTCCGCTGCATTGATCTGAGTTACACCATCAAAGGGATTAACCTGAGCTAGCAGGATGAAAATTCTGTGAGACAATGGACCTGCTTGGACACCAAGCATGAGACAGAGAAAGTTCAGTCACTAGCCATGGGCTACTTCTAAGGCTCAGGATTAATTCTGGGGGATGCTTTTGGCATTTGAAGAGTGATGCCTCTTAGAGGAGGAGTGAGTTGGGGTCTTCAATGGGGCCTGCAGTATGCTGAGACTATCACTTACCTCACTGTGGAGATGTGGGTTTGTACCTAGGCTCCTGCAAGTTGGCCACATTGTGAGAGCCAAGTGCAGATGGGGACTTGGAGTGAGATAGGCTGAATTCTCAGCCTTCCTCTGCAGGATGGGGCAAAGCACCTTTGGGTTGAGGGTAAATGAGAGATGGAGTGAACATGTTTGAAGGGTGCGGTAAATTTTAATAGACATTACTGATGATACTGAACTGTGCCTCTTAGACTCTTTAGGGCCCTAAACTGCCCTCCTCCAATCAGCATGAATCTGCTGCCCATCTCAGATTGCTGACTACATCATTTCCCAGATGTGTCCAATTCTAGTACCACTGCACTCTCGGATAGCAGCCTGGGACAAGTGGGATTCAGGCCTGAGGTCCATGGGGCACCCTTTTCCCAGCATCCTCACACAACCTGGAGAGCCCAGGGGCTTGTTCAGCCTTTCTGGAAATTGTTTTGATCTTTGTTGCTCAGAAATTAGCTTTGTAATTTTTTTTTTTTAAATCAGGGACTTCATTTTCTAGTTTGAAACCCATGTCTTTCAAGATGTGTTTCACATATTGTTGGTCTTAAGATTCATTATTTATATCACAACGTTCTTCATATTTTAGAGGAGTTGATTGCTTTCCTCTGCCTTTGTCTGGACTGAGAAGTGCTCAGTCCCTAGAGTTCAACAGCGAGGTCCATTTAGATCAGGTGCCATCTCTGTGCTCTGTCTATGAATTATTTTCTTGTTAGAAGGAGATTCTGGTAGCTTCCTCCACTGAGTGCAGCTGCTGACTTGGGTCTGATGCCCATATGTAGAGTCACTCTGGATCCTGGTAGCCAGGATCACTCCTTCTTCAGCTTCTAGACAGCCTCCAGGCCAGTCGGCCCTCACATCAGTGGAGGGGAAGACTGTGTGGCTGGCTATGCTCTGAGCTGAGGGCAGGAGGTGGTGGGAAAACCTTCAAGTGCAGCAGGACCTGCCTCAAGGAGTGAGATCCAGAGCCCAGTTACTACATGGCAGAGGGGAAAGAGGATGAACAGGTGTGGAGGATGCTGTGATGTGCTCTCTGTACTTTTTTTTGAGCAATGTTTCTCATCTCCATGCACAGCACTCACTTGAGGAGTTCTAGAATGCTGCTATGCAGGTCCACTCCCACGTACTGGTCTACTGCAGACCAGGCTGTAAAACTTTCAAGGATTATTTATTTATTATTTATTTATTTTGGCACTGGGGATTGAACCAGGGGCACTAAACCACGGAACCACACCCCCCAGCCCTGTTTTGTATTTTATTTAGAGACAGGGTCTCACTGAGTTGCTTCAGGCCTCACTAAGTTGCTGAGACTGGCTTTGAACTCAAGATCCTCCTGTCTCAGCCTCCTGAGTGGTTGGAATTATAGGCATACATCACCACACCCAGCAACTTTCAAGGATTCTAAGACAATCTAGTGTAGACATGGTGGAGAACTTTCTTCTCTAAGAAAGAAGTCAGTAGTCAGTAGTTAAAGGGAAGGGCTGAGAGGAAACCTTGGGGTCTTAGCATCTGTGAAGGGGAGGCAGGTACAGGACTAGGTGAGCAGGCTTAGTGTGAGCACTGGTGATTTCTGCATTGACCCCTGCCCCTGACTCAGAGGGTTTTGGTGGCCAGTGCCCATCTGCCTGTGCCAGGCCCCGCCTTTCACTGGGAGCTTGCACACAGGGGACTGTGCTCCATCTAGACTTATGGGGGTGGAGAAGGGTTACATCATGACACTGACGGTTCAGAGGACGCTGGGTTAATTCAGAGGAAATGTCATTTTCAGAGTCACTGCATCCCAAGGGTGTTATTGTAGTTGTCTCCCCCACTCCAACACTGCCCTCTCATAAATGTGTGTGCTTTCTAGGTTTAAGCCAGTACTTTAAATATATATGGGCTGCACATGGGTCCTTTATGATGTAAATAGTGGGACTAACTTCATTTTCCTCCATTTATGATAGATTATGTGAGGTGCTCAACCTTGATCCAAGGCAAGTCCTGATTGCAGAGGTGATCTTCACAAACATTGGAGGAGCTGCCACTGCCATTGGGGACCCACCAAATGTCATTATTGTTTCCAACCAAGAATTGAGGAAGATGGTATGTACCAGTATATTAGGGTTACTTTCAATAAATGCAGAACTAAACTCACTTAGCCCTCTGCCCAGTGTTTTAGAAACCTTTATTAACTTTTATTAGAAATCAAGATCCTCTGTATTACCTCTTTATAGTAAATGCTTTTAGATGTCTTGTGGGTGGGACGTAAGGAGACAGAGATGAATTGCCTTCATTCTCGATCTCCTAAGGTTTTGAAGAAATGATTGGATAACATAGTCATAATATGTTGTATTAATTACATCAATAGGAATGAAGGTTTAACTAGTATTAAGAACAAAATGGCCTGTCATCTTTTACAGGAGATATGTGATTTCCTTCTCAACTGAGGTAGATATATTTATTGAAGAACTTAAACTTTTTTTAAGGGTCAGAACGTGAAGGCCTTAGAAGTTCTTTGAAAACCCCTATAGATATTTTTTCCACATTTTTAATTGGTGCATTACAGTTGTACTAAATAGTTGGATTTGTTATTACATATTCATACATGCACACAATGTAAGAATATAATTCGGCCAATATCATTCCCAATTATATTTCCCCTTCCCCTCCTCTCCTCCCACCCCATGACCCCTTTCCCCTACTCTGTTGATCTCTCTGATTTTCATGAGACCCTCCCCACTTTTCTTGTCCTTTTTCCTCTGTAGCTTCCACATATGAGAGAAGACATATGACTCCTGACCTTCTAAGTTCTACTTATTTTACTTAACATAATGTTTTCAAGTTCCATCCATTTTCCTGAAAGTGACATAAATAAAAATTATAGCTAAATACAATTCTCTTTATAGCTAAATACAACTCTAATGTGTATGTATACCACATTACCTACATCTATTCATCTGTTGATGGACACCAGTTCCATAGTTGGGCTATTGTGAATTGTGTTGCTATAAATGTGGGTATGTATGTATCATTATAGTATGATGGCTTTAATTCTCAAGGATAAATACCAAAGAGTGGTATAGCTGGGTCATATGGTGTTCCATGCCTAGTCTTATATATAGTCAGCTGTATATATATATATATATATATATATATATATATATATATTTCTGACCTTCAGTTTTTATTTAAATATAGTAAACTTTTAATAGAATAAACAAAAAATCCTCTACACAGCAAATATTTTACATAAATGTAACATGCATGCCTATTTCACAATTAAGCAAAATGGACTTTTAGGCACAAGATTTAAAAAATCATGAAAGAATGAGACCTGAACGCAAGACAGAAATAACAGAGGCAACAGAAATATACATTACTTAACACCTCAGTTGGTCTTATCTTCCAACCTACTAATTAAGGCCTGAGTTTCAGGAATCCTATGTTCTTAACTGGAAATATCTAGTTTGGTTGTACCTAACATATATCCCCATAACAAATAATTATCTTTCAAAATAATCTAATAAATATATAATTCACACACATATGTACACTATGTACACACACACACACACACACACACACACACACATTCTGCTGAACCAACCTCTCAAATAGGGAAGTAAGAATTTTGGAATTTTCACATAGAAAAAATAATTCTGCTACAGAAATACAACAATGAATGGCATTATTAGAAGTCTCTAGTTCATTTGTATTACTTTTCCCTAAATCACCTTTTTACTAAGGCCTGCTGCCATGGCTCCTCAGACACTGCAGAAATAATCTTTTCATCCTGCCTAAATGACCCACAGTAGAGATGCTTTATAGAGAAAAGGAGACTTAACAGTTCAGTTATAGACTTCAGCACGGGTGTCGTAAGTCAGCTTAGTTCAAATGCCTGGAACAATTTCTTTATGTCAGTTCTCTTGGGTTTTACTGGTTGGTTTTCTCTGTTTCTTCCCCTACCAGCCTGTAAGCACCTGAGCAGCCTGTGATGACAGTCCCTGATTTTAGGGAGATCACACCAGTCAGAGTTCAAGCAGGAGAAAGGTCTGTTTGAACACACAGGGCACTTCACATGGGGTGAGGCAAGCAGAGGAAGAGTCCATGAAGATGGTGCCTACAGAACCTCAGAAGTGGGGTCTGGAGTTGGGGAGAGGAGCAGGAGAGTTAGAGAAGACAGAGTCAGGAAGAAAAAAATCCAGTTTGACTGGCAAGAGGATATTTGTGAGAAGTCATCTGTGAGAATGTGTTCTCAAAGGAGAAAAGATTCCTTGTTCTGGCGGGTCAAGTTGGGGGTGAGGGTGGTGCAAAAGCACTGAAGGCTTTGCACAGGGAACAAAACCCAGAGCCATGCTAGAGAATCCCTACACAGTGCTGGGTGGGACAGATGACGGAGGAGAGAGCAGGAAGCTCAGAAAGCTTCACTCACCAAGCCCAGTGCCACATGCAAGTATTTCCCACAGAGCCAAGTGTCAGTCCAACATGCCCCAAACCACACAGTTCTGTCTACATAAATCAAGGCTTTTGGAGAAAAAGTAGTGGAGAGGGGACTTAAACAGATATTTTCAGTTTAAGTTCTTAGAGCCTATCCCAGTTTGAACAAGTTAAGAGCAGTGAAGCCATTCTCATATCCAGTAACAATTCAAGTCTCCCAATCATGACCATCACCTTTCCTGAACTGTCATCACCAAGTAATCATAAAGCAATAATCATTTCACTTCAGCTAAGTTCCTACCTGCCACTCAATCCACAGAGCCCTCATGAAAGGCTGAGACCCCACCACAAGATACTAGGCACATGTGTTGCCTCTACTTGGGCAGAGTGGTGTGGGCATGCTGCTGGGTAACAGCACCTTGTCCCACCTTCAGCCCACTGGAGTCCTGGTGTGGATAAAACAGTTGACGTATAAGGTACAACTCTGACCAAAGCCCCCATCAGGGCCATCCTTTCTTCTCTAGGTCCAGACTGCATCCCTCCACTAGCTAGGGAGGGAGAGGCCATCTGAGTAGAGGGACTCAAGGAAGGAAAACCATTGTCTTGATGCTCACTGACTCAAGCCAGATAGAAACTTCTTAGGACACAGTCTTTCAAACTACTAGTCTTTTGATCCTATAATTACTAATAAATATTTTCTTTGAACACTAAAATAAAAACCATTTATTTTAAAGAGAACAGGTATAACTTTATATATCTTAAAGAGTTAAAATTAAAACTTTATCATTAATTTTCACTTATTATTTTTTCATCATTAGAATTTTCTGGATTTTCCTTCTCGGAGGTATCAGTAAAATGCTTCCACATTTGGTAATGATTTACTGTAGATGATGTTGTGTGTATGTATTCCTGTGAAGTGCATCAGTATGTGTGTGTGTGTGTGTGTACCATCTTCCTTAAATGTATTTAAACTGCTAAGAATTCATGGCTCTAAGGTATTGATGGCCACATTGAAGACCCCCCCCCCCATGATATAGAGATTCTGGGTATAACTTGGATGCTGTGGTGAAAGTCTGTAATCCTGGTTGCCCTGGGGGAGCTTCCTGGAAGCACACACACCAGTCCTGAGTGTGAACTGAGTTGTCATGTGAACATGAACATATCATCTTGGAATATATCAGAAGGTAACAGAGCCTTGTCATCTATTCTAGGGACAACTATCAGCCAGGATGGGCCTGGGAATACACATGGGAAAGAACTATCTTCAGAAAGAGTATTTGTTTATTTTTTATTCTACAATAATATGTTTTTTGTACAAAATAGAAATGACAAACACACATGTACTCATGCATACACAAATAAAAGCTGTCATAATTCTGCCACTCAGAGACAAATTATCTTAGTATTTCGATGCAATTAATCTTCTAGAATACTTGCATGTGGATGTTTTGAATAAATAACATAGCTTCTGCTCTGGCCAAGATGGAGTAATAGGGACTGGATTTCCTTTCTTGCCTGGGACAACCAACCAACCAACCAAACCAACCAAACCAACAAATGAACAAAAATCCAAACCAAAACCAAACAGCATACCAGGAGCAATAGTAATGAAGACACTGAACACTGGACCAAAAATGGACAGCAATCCCCATGATATGGGAAATGAGATTAACTCTATGATTCCTCTGGCTCACTGCCTGAGAATTTTCAGGGTGTGTTGCGGAGAGGGAGGAACCACATGGAGCTCACTCAGCTCCCTGAGTTAATAAGGTGGAACTGACAGTCTGGGGAGTCCAAGGCAGCTGGAATTTGCAAGACAAAGGACCAGAGAGGACAGAGCTGCTTAGAGAGAGAACCACAGAGACCTTCAGAGAGTCTCCCTTGAGAATGCAGTAGTGTTCATTCCAGTCCATGTATGTGAGGAAACCACCTATTGTCAGGGGAAGCACAACCCAGAAGATTAGAGGTAAGAGTCCTCGACATGACAGGGACAGGAATAGTCTCTATTCCTGCCAGGCAGGCTGGAACCTTGAAATTCATAGGGCACATTGTAGGCTACTCAGTAGGGTCTTGCCTCTGGAATTACTCCTTGTGGGGAGTGAAGATGGCTGGATATGGCTCTGATTCCACCTAATAAATCTTAAAATCAAGACCTGAAAGAATCAAGCTTTCTATATAGTTTAACAGACTCCAGAACAGACCTCAAAGATATTTGAAGGATACAAAAACATTCAACAGTGTATAGAGCAAAATCACGATATGTGGCATATGATCAAGGATTACCAGGCATGTAAAGACGCAAGAAAATATGACATATGATAAGAAGAATGTGAACCGTTGAAGTCAACCTTGAGTAGACACAGGTATGAGAATGTGTAAAAAGGACATTAAAAATAAAAATTATGATACATGCATTACAGACGTCCATCAAGTGGAAACATTAAAGACATGTTTTAAAATGCCAAAATCAAGCTTCTAGAGAGAAAACTTAAAATATCTGTAATAGAAATATACTTGTTGGGATTAATGGCAGCATAGCAGAGGAAAAGATTAGTGAACCTGAAGACACAGATCCAAAATGAAAAAGACTGTAAAGATAGCAATGAAAAAATGAAAAGTGTTCTTGAAAAACTTTAAGTACCTAACACATATATATAGTTCTAATC